AGCTCTTTTTGCGTTTGACACGAATCTTGATCGAGTAATGTTTCTAATTCTTCATCTTCAAACTTTTTCGGTTGACCCGAACGCTCTTTGTCTTCAACACTTAAATCACCACTTTGAAATCGTCGAAACCATTCTCTGCAAGATTTATCCCACGGTGCAGATTCACCGTAAACTTCCACAAGCATTCGATGCGCTTCAGCTGCACTTTTCTTCCAATTGGAACAGAAAATCAAAACTTCCCGCAAATGGTGCTTATTTGGAACGAAACTCGACATTTTCAACGCAGTAAATATTAAACTTGTTGTGCAAAACTCAAAGGCTTGTAAACAATATTTGGTTGACAGATGTTGACACTTCACGATACAGCAAAAATCAGCTGTCGCCGTCAACCATTTATAGCACCTAGAGCCATCTTTTGAAAACGGATCGAACTAAGTTGTACACTCAATATATACATTTTGTACATGAAGGAATGACTAATAATGTAGTATAAACAGATTTTTTGTATCGTGTATAACTTTTTGGTTAATTAACTTCCAAAGTTAGACATGATTTTGAGGCTTCCAGGGTGGACTAACCTTTTAATGTACTCTGGTGTACAATGGATGTCGTACTTACTATCAAACAATCTGTATCCAGTAAGCAACCTGCTAGTAGTCTGATAATAGATTGACCAGGGTCTGTCAACAGATTCAGTGTTATTTGTGTCCGCAATCTGCTGTTGTTATGTCAATAGAGTCTGATGACCAAATCTGACAGCAGATCGGTGGCAGAAAGCAAGCAAAAACTACAATTTTTCTACTTAAGGGGATGTCGGAGTGCCTGTTTTAGATTTTACGTCGTCTAGACTGAACTGGTCGAAAAGCGCTTTTGCATGCTTAAAGTATTCACTGAAACATACCCCGCAGATCTAATTTTTTCATCGAAAATAAAAAAATTTTTAAGTTAGTTGTTTTCTAGCACAATTCGTAGGTTATAAAAAATTTCTACGATGCATATAAAAAAAAAAAGGAAATATCTGCAGGCTACAAAATATTCTAAGGAATAACATCCAATCTTCAAAAATATGCTTAGAAGTTTTAGAAAACCACAGTTTCTTATGGAAAATTACTATTACTTTTTGCTAAAATGTAGATAAAAGAGAGCAGTTTAGACGTCCATAATAGTTCACGGATACCGCGCTAGTGGTGCCAGTGCTACAATAAGCCACTGTGAGCACTGTAAATAGGCAAAGCTGGGAAATCTTTTCTGGGCGCACTGACGTTTTGCTCCTTCCACTTCTCACACAGAGAGACTACGCACGCTCGGCCGGACAGAAGCGTCTCTATGTGAGAAGTGGATGGAGTAAAACGCCAGTGCACCCGGGAAAGATTTCCTAGCTCTGACTACATAACCTCTTAGCAGACGACAACAGTAAACGACAACATACGACAAATAATCGGACAAGACAGCAAAACAGTTGAGACATGAAAAAAAATAATGCTCATGCGGAGGCAAGCAGCGAAACCAAAATGGTATGTACATAATAATAATTGGGAACAGAAGCGCCCTTTTCAACGTGTACACTAGTGTACTGTTTGTCAGTATTTACTGCCACATGCATTTCTTTTACGTTTCTTACTTCTTATAAGTAGTCTTATTTGATGTGTACTGCTTGTCAGTAACAATTGTCACATACATCTATTTTGACGTATATGGTGCTCGTCAGTTATTGTCAGAGTCGTGTTATTAATGGTATTCTACTTGTCAGTAAGTACTGTCAAAGTCGTTTTTTTTACATGTGCTGATTCCCAGTAGTTATAAGCACAGTCGTCTTACTTGACGTCAGCTGTTTTGCAATAATGACAAGCAGAGGCGCCTTATTTTACGTGTGCTGCTTGTCAATAACTACTATCAGAATCGTTTTGTTTACGTGTGCTGTTTTCCAGTAGTTACACGCAGAGTTGTCTTACTTGACGTCAGCTACTTTGCAGCAATGACAAGCAGTGGCGCTTTATTTTACATGTGCTGCTTGTCAGTAACTAGTGTCAGAGTCGTTTTTTTGACGTGTGCTGCTTCGCAGTAGTTAAAAGCAGAGTCATCTTATTTCATGTATAGTGCTGTCAGTAACAACTTATTTCATGTTGTTACTGTCAGTAACTGCCACATGTATCCTTTTTACCGTATAAGGTAGTTCCCAATTATTACTGTCAGACTTGCCTTATTTGACATATACTACTTGTCAGTACTTAGTAAGTACTTGTATAGAAATTTTTTTTACGTGTGCTTTTTGCCAATGGTTTACGCGTATGGTCCTCTTGCCTTTAATAATACTTGTTGCCAAATACATAAGGTAAGGCAATCTACTAATAATAAGTAGTGTCAGAAAAGCTGACTCTGAAATACACATACTTACATAAATTTTTAAAACAGAGCGACTTATTGACATGCCTCATCTCTTTACTTATAATAATACTCCATGCCAGATACATGTTGTATGATGTGATGTGATGTAGCTTTTAAAATAATAAATAATGTGGAGGTCGTGAGTTGGATCGAGTCGGACCTAAAATCGAGCAAAATAATACCGGCGTAGCAACGAAAACAATTAACAACGCGAGTCGCGCAAATCAATCTTCTGACATATAGCAATGAGATTAGATGAATATTGTATTGCTCTTAAAATATATTTATAACATTATTTATCATAAAAGTGAGTCTGATTGTGATTTGGCCCCTGTCTCTCAACTTTCGGATCCTACAATAATTTAGAGAAATAAATAAGAACTCACAAACGAAGATATTAATCAAAAAATAGGAAAAAGGGGCAATTCGAGTTCAAGCACAGGACTAATAGTACTATGTACCATATGGGTAAAACCTTCCTTGTGTTAGGAAATCGTGTAATATTTATTGAACATGAGTAATCAATATAAATAATCAGACATTTCGGCTCAATCATGAACCCACTTCAGTGATAATAAAAACTCAAGGTTTATAGTACGAACGCATTACAATTAATTAAAGACCTGATTAAAATTACAGGAATGTTAATCGCAATATTAAAGCTGACACGACCGTTACCGAAATAATATTAAGTAGTCAAATTAATATTAAGAAGTAGCCGTCATAACTATAAAAAATCATAAAATAAAATAAAAGTAAGTAAAATTGAAATATAATAAATAATTAAAACAGGCAATATAAAATACCTTTGTTGAGCACGGCTAAAAGTAAAACGGTCCTGTCAACGATAACATCGCCACGTCTAAGAAATAATTACAGATTTATATAATTGAGCATTAACATTGCGGCAACGACTCGTGGAAGAGAAGGAAACCAAAACAAAGTTTATTGTTATAACAAACCGCAGCGTAGCTGCTGCCCAAATATTCAATGTCCTTTTGTGAGTTAAGACCATGCTTTTGAAATTTGATGAAAATCATTTCTGAAATCAGGCGTTTTAAATAAAACCGTTCCTCATATAAAACTTTGACATGATCCCAATCGAAATCATGGTTCTTCTTCAAACGGTGTTTCTGTATGGCCGTTAACTCTACCGTAGAACTCCTAGGAATTCTCCTATGTTGGCAATACGTATAGAGAGTCTTCTACCAACATATGACGCCTCACAACCACTGCATTGCAACCTATATAACGTTATTATGGAAACCAAGAGGCAATCTGTCTTTATACACACGAATTAATCCTGATAATTTATTAGTGCAAGAATAAGCAATATTTGTCAAAGACAGTTAAAACAAATTTGACAGCTTCTGGGTATGATAAAAAATATTTTACTATACCATTTTGTGGTTCAGTTTTGAAAAT